CGCAACAGCAAGCAGAAATGTGAACGTTTACAAATATTTCAAAGAAAGTAGCAATGAAATAGTAGTAAGGGTAAAAAAAAAAGGGATCTAAATGAAATTTACACTTAGAGCTGGGTTGTGGTAACCCAATATTGGGTTAAACAAGGTCAAACTCAATCATTAATATTATAGAGTTTAATTTAGAGTGTACTCTTATTTCAGCTTAAAAGGAGTATACTCAGTCATTCATTTTCTTGTTGGCTTAGTTGCTTTATTAATCCGGGGTCGCCACAGTGGAATGAACCGCCAACTTATCCAGCAAGTTTTTACGCACCGGATGCCCTTCCAGCCACAACCCTTCTCTGGGAAACATCCAGACACAGCGACCTTCTTGCTGTGAGGCGACAGCAATACCTACTGTGCCACTGCGCCGCCCTAAAAGGAGTATACTAATACACTTAAATGAACTTGTTTTTCATGAGAACACACTGTAAAAAAATGCTGTTTTTTGGGTCAAATAGAGACAAAGCAAATCGTTTTGTACATTTTTTTTTCAATTCAGTTACTTTTTGGGGTGGGGTTGTCCATATTGGACCCAGTGTTGTGTTAAAACAGCCCAGTATTTTAGTGTGCACTACTGTAAGCAGTGCTGGTTTTGCTTTAGTGACCATCAAGTGGAGTTTGTTAAACTCTTTTTAAACTTTTCAAAGTGTTTTGAAAAACTCTAAAAACACTGGGTTTTTCAACCCAACATTGGGTCAAATATACACTGTAAAATATCGATTTGTGTTGAGGCGACATGAAGGAATTAGGTCAACTTATTAGTTTTTACAAATTTAAGTGGATTGAACATAAAACAATTTAGTTGTCACGCAAAAATCAAGAAGTAGCTTGAGCAAAGGGGTAACACTTTACAATAAGGTTCATTAGTTAATGCATTTACTAACATGAACTAATCATGAACAACACATGTACAGCATTTATTAATCATAACTGAACATTTACTAATGCATTATTAACATTCGAGTCCATGCTTGTTAACATTAGTTAATGCACCAATTAACTAACATTGAACTACTGTATTTTCATTAACTAACAGTAACTAACATGAACAAATACAGTAGTAGATGTATTCTTCATTGTTTGTTCATGTTACTAAATGCATTAATTAACATTAACTAATGAACCTTATTGTAAAGTGTGACCAGCACAAGGTGCAAACATCATTTTTTGGGTGCACTGAAAAAAAAAGATGTCTGCAAAATTGTTGCAAACAATTAATATTTGCTGCATTTAAACAAACAATCTAAATGTAGTAATGGTCAACTTAATTTGTTCATTTACAGCCCTAATAAATTGTTTACAACCACGTACGTAACCTTTTTTGGTCACACTTTACAATAAGGTTCATTAGTTAATGTTAATTAATGCATTTACTTACATGAACAAACAATGAACAATACATTTACTACTGTATTTGTTCATGCTAGTTAACGTTAGTTAATGTAAATACAGTAGTTCATTGTTAGTTCATGTTAACTCATGGTGCATTAACTAATGTTAACAAGCATGGACTTGGATGTTAATAATGCATTAGTAAATGTTCAATTATGATTAATAAATGCTGTACATGTGTTGTTCATGATTAATTCATGTTGGTAAATGCATTAACTAATGAACCTTATTGTAAAGTGTTACCCCTTTTTTTTTTAACATAAATTCAAGAAATCATCATTGAATCATCTTTTTTCATTCATTCATTCATTTTCCTTCAGCTTAGCCCCTTTGTTAATCAGGGGTCGCCACAGCGGAATGAACCGACAACTTATCCAGCATATGTTTTACAAAGCGGATGCCCTTACAGCTGCAACCCAGTTATGGGAAACACCCATACACACTTATTCTCTCTCTCTCTCTCACACACACACACACACACACACACACACTACAGCCAATTCAGCTGGGACTTAAATCAGGGACCTTCTTGCTGTGATACCACAGTGCAAACTGAGCCACTGTACCACCCTAAACAATTAATCTGTCCCCCTAAGAACTCAATAATTGTGTTGATTCAGCTCATTTTTTGAGTGAAGAAAAACCCAACAATTGGGTCAAAAGGATAGATTTTTTTTTAATGGTGCATATTTGTACATTTTGATCTAACGCTGTGTTAAAAAAGCCCAACTTTTTTTCTTTTTAGAGTAAATGCTTTAGTTTGACTCCTCGTGAGTTTTCCCTATGAGGGAACCACACTCCTGTTTGTTCAGGCTACTTATTTAAAATGAGTTGAATCCACACAATCCTTAAGGGTTTTTTTGGGAGAACTTCATTGTTTAATGTTCAATCCACTAAAATCTGTCAAAACCATTAAGTTAACTCAATTGACTTGTGTTGGAACAACATGAAGGAATTGTGTGGAACCCAGCATTTTTTTACAGCGCACTCAAAAAACGACATTTGCTGTTTGTTCAGAGCACTTAATTAAAATGTGTTGAAACAACACAATCCTCATTAGGTGTTTTTACGGACAACTTAATTGTTTTAAGTTCAATAAAAACCAATGAGTTAACTTAATTCCTTCATGTCGTCCCAACACAAATGGATTGTGAGGAACCCAGTATTGCTCGCACACTTGTAAGACAGCACTAATGGCTGCGGTGTGTTGGAAAGCGAGCGTCCTGTTGACGTTATATCGTTAGTGTTGATGTGGATTCTGCAGGAGGGAACAAAAGCCCGCTGGACGCCTGTGATTAAAGCTCTCCATTGTGTTCTCATTACAGCCGGCAGGTTAGCAAAAGGTGCGAGTCGCAGCCCCTTCATGGGGAAACACCAACACACATAGACTGAAACAATATAGCGTTTTCCCCTGCATGTTGAATGTTTGTTGTTCAATAAAGCATATTATTGAAATCCAAAATATATTTAATCTCAACCTAAATATATTTTAGGGTGAAGAAAAAACATTTTCAACTAATATACAGTAAAGATGGATGCATGGATGGATGGATGGATGGATGGATGGATGGATGGATGGATGGATGGATGGATAGATAGACAGACAGACAGATAGACTAGTTTTGGGTCAGTATTGTTAAATGTTTTAAAATAAGTTTGTCCTGCACTGCAAGGCTCATTTATGTCATCATATACAGCACTAAATGTAAAATTGTGAAATATTATTGCACTATAAAATTACTGTTCAAGATTATAATTTATTTTAATAATTTATTCCAGTGATTTTGAAAATGAATTTTCAGCTTCATTATGCAGCCTTCAGAGTCAAACAGTCCTTCTTCAGATTCACTCTAACATTAATTATTATTATAAATATTATAATTATTATTAATGTTAATAATAATAAAAGCAATAATGACTGGAGTAATAATTTCATTTAAAACTACATACAATAAGAAAGCAGTTACTTTAAAAAATGTAATAAATATTCAACAATTTAACAAATTTTTTACATTTAATAAATGCCGCCTTGATTAACACAATCATTTTCTTTAGAAAAACAATAACATGAAACAAACACCCTTACCCTATATTTTTGACCAGTTGTATATTTATTAATAATATATTTTAAATATTTGTTAAATACATGTTGTATCTGTATTGTTTAATATTGTGTGTGTGTGTGAATATATATATATATATATATATATATATATATATATATAAAAAAAATTTTAATAGATTTAATTTAATTTATTTTTAAGTGAAGAATGCATTGCCAACCTTAAAGCATGTGCATGAAGATCAAAAAAGTATCCAGTATTTAAAAATGTATTTAATGTAATTATTAATAAAAATGATAATGATATTAATAATGGCAGCAAGGTGGCGCAGTGGGTAGCACATCTCCTTACAGCAAGAAGGTCGCTGGTTCGAGCCTCAGCTGGCATTTCTGTGTGGAGTTGGCATGTTCTCCCCATGTTAATGTGGGTTTCCTCCAGGTGCTCCGGTTTACCCCACAGTCCAAACACATGTGAATTGGGTAAGCTAAAACTGTCCGTAGTGTATGTGTGTGTGAATAGTCTGTATGGATGTTTCTCAGTGATGGGTTGCAGCTGGAGGGGTATTCGCTGCGTAAAACATATGCTGGATTAAGTTGGCAGTTTATTCCGCTGTGATGACCACAGATTAATAAAGTGACTAAGCCAAAAAGAAAATGAATGAATAAATAAAAATAATAACAGTCATCTTTAGTATTATCAAAAAAACTGTTAAATATAGTTATTTAGTATTTATATATATTACTGGTCAAATGTTTGGGGGTCAGTTTTTTTGTGTATGAATAATTTTATTTATTATTCCATCACTATTTATTAAATATAATTTTTTACATTGTTAAATGCTTATTTATTAAATATGTATTTATTACTTACTGTATGTCGTATTAAGTGAAAAGATTAGTCCATCATTATTGCTTTAATTACTGCTCCATTAATAATATTAATTATTGTCCCTTTATTAATATATATATATATTATAAGTAATTTATTTTTGAATTATTTTATATGTAAAATATATTTTCAAAAACCGTCCAAAAATATATCTGCAGTAAATATATTTAGGAAATATATATTTCGCAACTATATCATTATTGCCATATTTCAAAATGTACTTTTATTTTACTGTATATGTGCACTAAACCCCTTAAAAACAGCCGCGCCTCTCTCTCTCTCTCTCTCTCTCTCTCACACACACACACACACACACACACACACTCCCAGAAAGAGCTTTAAATACAGACGATGATCAGAAGACATCAGCGTGCATTTGCAGAGATTAATCATCCATCAGCAGCGAATTACAGTGAAACCAGAAGACAATTATAAAAGCCAATATCCAGAGTCAGCTCACATGAGCTCAGAGTCTGCGTCTGATCGCGCAAGATGTAAATCCTCCACATGTTGATGTTTAGCGACCCTGTGAATGGGACAGAAGGTTTTGATGGGTGGGATCTGATTCTGTATTGAGGATCCAGACACACACACACACACACACACACACTGACACACACACACGCAATGCTGGGTTAACAGACGCACGATGATGGAACTAAACGATCCTCTGGATTTTACGCGCATGGTTTTTCTCCTATTGGGATTTATCCGCCGTATGGATTTGACTGAACTCGTTTAATCAGGAATATCATTCAGGAGAGCCCTGGATATTGAACACTTTATAGTTTTTGCGTTCGCACAATGTATGGGATCAATCAGCGCTACTTATACATGTAAGTTATGATATTGAATTATTAAAAATATCAATGTAAGTGTGCGGGTTTTGTAAACTTAGCCTACTTATCGATATGAGTTTGCATTGGCTCTTTTAGGAACTTTTAAACACTTAAGAACGCCGGGTTGTTTTCATCTAAGGTTGGGTCAAATTTGGTTTAAATAAATTTAGTCTGAATAAAATGAACCCGACGTTTCGCTTTTTTATTAACAAATTTATTTGTTTTTGAGCGACATTATTTAGGAAATCTTTATTTTAGGTGTTTTTTTGAGTGTTAAATATATTAAAAGTTGCTTTTGGAGTATTTAATGACCTCTATTACTTTAGTTATTACATATTTGCGGCGTGTGACGCTATTTTTGCGTTTTATAATTTATTATTTCTAATATTTAGCATATTAAGAGTAAAATACAGACAGTGGTATAGGCTATAGTCTTTGAAAGGCAAATTGTTGTGGATAACGTTTTTACTTTTTATAACATAGCTAAATTTGTTTTATAGCGTAACATATTTGCATATAAATGCATATGCATGTATATATATTGATTTTCGTTTTGCGAATTGATGCGCCATAGTGAGTTTTTATCTCATGCAATACAGAAAGAAAATAAATTATAATATTCTGCTGCTTAAATATATATAAATATATTTTAGTCTCTAACTACATAGTTGAGGAAAAATACTTAAGTTGTATTTTGAACTTAAATAAACATTTACGCATTTAATTACCTGCATTTACATAATGAGCTTACATTACGCATGTCCTGTCCATTGTGTACTTTTTCATACTTTATACTGTTTTTTTATTTATTCATTTTGCAGCTCTTTTCACTTCTTCGTGGTGTGGTGTCATGCGCAGGTAAATATTTACTACATTTTCACCATCATATTCATTTAGTACCTACAAATCTTTGCCCTGTCATAAATTGCATGCTTAGATTATTGAATGTTATAAAGTGAATAAAAATGTTGTCAATAAGACAGTTAGTTTAGTACCTGTCAAATGAACTATATGAGTTTCTAATAAACATTGTTTTCTATGAGAAACTGGTTTAAAATGATATACAGTCATTATGCGGGTCATTGAGGTTTTCTGAGGCCCTCTAGTGGCTCCCGGCAAGCCTCAAGTGGCCGCAAAAAATAAATAAATAAATACACACACACACACACACACACACACACACACACACACACACACACACACACATATATATATATATATATATATATATATATCAGAATTATTAGCCCCGTTTTTCCCCCCCGATTTCTGTTTAACAGAGAGCAGATTTCAACACATTTATAAACATAATAGTTTTAATAATTCATTTCTAACAACTTAATTTATCTTTGCCATGATGACAGTAAATAATGTTTCACTATTTTCAAGACACTTCGATACAGCTTAAAGTGACATTTAAAGGCTTAACTAGGGTAATAGGCAGGTTAGGGTAACTAGGTAAGTTATTGTATAACAATGGTTTGTTCTGTAGATTATCGAAAAAAATTGCTTATGGAGCTAATAATTTTGACCTTAAAATGTTTTTTGAAAAATTAAGAACTGCTATTAATCTAGCCAAAATAAAACAAATAAGACTTTCTCCAGAAGAAAAAATATTATCAGACAAACTGTGAAAATTTCCTTGCTCTGTTACACATCATTTGGGAAATATTTAAAAAATAAAAAAATAAATCACAGAGGGGCTAAGGATTCTGACCTCAGTATATTCCAGTAATTATTAAATTATATGATCAATTAGTCTTGACAGCATATGTTTTAGGCTTTTAACTTATTAAACTAAGTTAATCATGTAAGAACTTAATTTATAAGTCAGTTTAACATAATATAAGTTCAATTGACTCAAAGTTAATTTTATTCAGCTTAAAATGTAAGGCAACCAGGATTTTTACAGTGTATATTAAAGTACAGTTAAGATAATCCTGCAGTTGCTATTGAACACAACAATTACAGTAATGTAAATGAATGAATGCTGCAGTTTTCTACCACTATTATGCACTCTAAAAACATTGGGTTGTTGTAACCCAGCATGGGGTCAAAACTGAACAAATCCAATCTTTGGGTTTAAAAAAAGTGCAATTTAAATTTAATTAATACAAATTAATTGTTAAAAATTCTTGCTGTCTTAATTTTTAAGCTAATTCAAACTTACTTTGATAGTCGTGTCAACTTACATCAAACAAACTGACGGGCAAATATTAAGGTAAACTTTGTATAACTTAAAAAATTCATTTGAAACCGGATTGACTTAGTTAAAAATACATACAAATATTTGTTGTCTTGATTTTGTCATTTTTCCATTGTGTGTTTGTCCGTATTTGACCTAAAGTTGGGTTACAACAACAACCCAGCATTTTTAGAGTGTATAATAGTTGTAGGGTGACACGGTGGCTCAGTGGTTAGCCTCAAAGCAAGAAGGTCGCTGGTTCAAGCCCTGTAGTCGGCGTTTCTGTGTGGAGTTTGCATGTTCTCCCCATGTTGGCGTGGGTTTTCTCCGGATCCCCCACAGTCCAAACACATGCACTATAGGTGAATTGAGTAAGCTAAATTGGCCGTGTATGAGTTAGTGTATGGGTGTTTCCCAGTACTGAGTTGCATCTGGAAAGGCATCCGCTGTGTAAAACACATTCTAGATAAGTTGGCGGTTCGTTGCCGAGTGGTGACCCCAGATTAATAAAATGGCTAAGCCAAAGGAAAATGGATGATTATAAAATATGGTTGTCATAACTAAACTTTGTGTCAAATATGGACAGCTTATACAAATACAACTTAATTGTGAACAGTATTATAACCCAATGTGTGGGCTGGAGTGTATAGGCCATACAACACTATAGTAGATATTTACATTGAATTACAATTTTTTTATGTGGGAGAAATACAGTTGAAGTCAGAATTATTAGCCCTTCTGTTAAATTTTATTTTTTATATGCTTATTTTGTCCCTAATTTCTGTTTAACGGAGAGATTTTTCAACATATTTGTAATCATAATAGTTTTAATAACTCATTTCTAATAGCTGATTTATTTTCTCTTTGCCATGATGACAGACAGCACATAATATTTGACAAGATATTCTTCAAGATATTCAGCTTTAAGTGACATGTGATTCATGTTTTTATTTTTTTTTGTTTATTTCTGCTTTTGAATTTGCATTATGGGATCTTGATCTTTCTTCCAACAACTTTTAACCTTAAAAAGTGACTTTTTGTGTAATAGTTTGCAGTGCTTTATTGTCTGGGTTGGTGCTGTTTATACTCTACAATAACCTTGTAATAAAGCACAGCACATTTTCTCTTATTTTGCACACTCCTCTTTATAATATTTTAGTCACACTTTCCAATAAGGTTGTATTAGTTAATACATTTACTAACATGAACAAACAATGAACAATGCATTTATTGCAGTATTTGTTCATGTTAGTTAAGTTGTTCATTGTTAGTTCATGTTAACTCGCAATGCATTAACTAATGCTACACTGTAAAAATTATACGATCAATTAGTCCTGACAGCTTATGTTTTTAGGCCATTATAACTTATTAAACTAAGTTAATCACGTTCTTACCTAATTTTATAAGTTACACAAGCTGTTCTAGGTCAGTTTAACATAATAAAAGTTCAATGTACTCATACAGTTAATTTGATTCGGCTTAAAAATTTGAGGCAACCAGGATTTTTTTGCGGTGTAACAATCATGAATGTTGCTGTTAATAATGCATTAGTAAATGTTGAACGATCATAAATAAATGCTGTATAAGTATTGCTCATTATTAGTTCATATAAGTAGATGAATTGAAACCTTATTTTTAAAGTGTGACCATTATTTCTTATTTCAAACTACTAAATTGTCAATAAAAGTCACTTTGTTAAACTGCAGAGTTGAATTTTCAACATTAAAAGTGGACAGAGCAGAGATCAACATCCCATAATGCAGTTCACAACTGTAAATAAACCCAAAACACTGTGACTGTTCATTGATTTTTTACTGTGTAAGCAGGTGATTACAAGTCATAGCAGCCTATTAAAATAGGTGAACCTTTTCACAGTTATTCTATCAAATTATGAGGTTCAAATACTGCATTTTAGTGACATTTTAAGCAATAATTTTTGTTGGATTAGCTTGTTGATGTTTATCATTTCCACACTTTTTGACGTAACTAAAATATTTGCTATATTTTTGTGCTTACTATTCTATTATATGTTTACAAAAAAAAATGTGTTTACAAATGTGCATTGCGTTATCACAGTTTTATAAATAATGTAATGAGATTACAATTTTAACCTAAACTTTTTGAACAAAGAAATATTACAAAATACTTAATTTAAAATGCTAATTAATTATCATCCATAATTAAAAAAATAAACTATTAAGAATGTGTTCAAACTTGTTTTAACTGAAAACTGTAGCCCATATCCAAATAACTAACGAGCCAGCTCATTTCCTCAGTCAGATTTTGTCCATTTTAATAATAATTAATTATTTAAGTTGTCTTAAAGCCTTCACCTGTCTGTTATTTTCACAATGTTTAATGGCATGCTGTCAAAAATAGGACAAATGAGCTCACTATTTGATATAGTGGCCAAATTGTAGACTTTGTCAGTTGGAGTGGGTCTTTTGAACTATCCGAACACCCCTTGTTACTTGCCTGCAACAGTGGTTTCTTCTGACGATGCAAAAAATGCTTAAGGGGCTAATAATATTGACCTTAAAATGTTTTTTTTTAAATTAAAAACTGCTTTTATTCTAGGCGAGATAAAACAAATAATAAGAAAAAACATTATAGGAATTACTGTGAAAATTTCCCCGCTCTGTTAAACATCATTTGGGAAATATTTAAAAAAGAACAATGCATATGCAGCAGGAGGGCGAATAATTTAGACTTCAACTGTGTATGTGATCTTATTTTCCCTTTGCACCGAAAAAGGGGGAGAAGAATCACCCTTCTCCTAATTTTAAGCAGTATGTGAGGGAACAGGGCTCCCTGACGGACCAGCTGAGCCGGCGGCAGGTTCGAGTCTACCAGTTGTACAGCAGAACCAGCGGGAAACACGTGCAGATCCGCGGACACCGGGTCAGCGCCACCGCGGACGACGGAAACTCTTACGGTGAGCCGCGTTTTCTCTGCCCGCTGATCGAGTCATTCGGGCCGGGTTTCGGTGCGGGTGATGGCGCTGAATCGGCGGATGATTGATTGCGTCATTGACGGGTGCTTCAATAGGATTAATCGTTTGTCTTTTGTGTTGATTAGGATGTTAATTAGCTTTAAACAGCAAAGGGAAATGAGACTGAATGGAGGATTGGCTGATTATGGGCTTCCAGAAACCCAGATAACACAATGTTAAATAGGTGAACTTTAACTGTTTAACACGAGCTGTTGAGCTTTTAGCTTTACAAAAGGTCAAGTAAAATTATTTTTAAAATAAATATAAAGCTTCTTGTATTTCTGTCATCTTTCCTTATTTCTTTGCTCTTTTATTCTTACATTCTTTCTTAATTTTATTTCTTCGCTTTTTATTTTTTTTCCTTTTCTTTCTTTTAAAATCTTATTTTTTCTCTTTTTTGCTTAATTCTTTTCTTCTTTCCTCATTCGTTCCTTTTTCCTTCCTTCTTTCCGTTCTTTCTTGCTTACTTTCTTAATTTTTTATTTTTCCTCGTGCTTTATTTTTCTTCATTTTTTGATCATTCCTTTTTCCCCTTTTTCTTTCTGCATTCTTTTCCTTCATTCATCCTTTGCTTTTTCTTTATTTTTCTTTACTTTCTTTCTTTTTTTGTTTCTCTTTCTTGCTTTATTTTTCTTTCTTTGTTTTTTATCTTTCTATCTTTTTTCTAAATGTTACTCTTGCTTCATTCATTTCTTCTTTTTCTCTTTTTCATTTCATCATTCTTTTCCTTTTCCTTCCTTTCTTCATTTTTTGCTGTCTTTATTATTTATTTACTCTTTCTTTCCTTCAATAATTTCTTTCCTCTTTCCTACTTTCTTTGCTCTTTTATTCTTTAATTTTTTCTTAATTTTCTTTCCTTTTCGTTCTTACTCAACTTTCTTTCTTTCTTTCTTTCTTTCTTTCTTTCTTTCTTTCTTTCTTTCTTTCTTTCTTTCTTTCTTTCTTTCTTTCACCTTTCATCATTTTTTACATTATTTCTTGTTTTCTCTCTTTGCTCTTTCTATCCATCTTTCTCTCTTTTTAATTTCTTTTTCTTTAACTTTTTCCTCTTTCTTGCTTCAGTCTTTCCTGTTCCTTCATTCCTTCCTTTTCTTCCTTTCTTTTTTATCTTTACTTCTTTTGTTTTTATTTTTTCCTCCCTCATTCTTACTTCTTTCTTTTTTTTCTTTCCTTTTCCTGCATTTTCTGTCTTTTTCTTTAATTCTTTGCTCTTTCTTTCTTTTTCATCATTTATCATTCTTTTTGCTGTCTTCTTTCTTTCTTTTTTCATTTTTTAACCTTTCTTTCTTTCTTTCTTTCTTTCTTTCTGTATTTGCTCATTATTTGTATTATTATTATTTATATCTTTGTATTCAGTGTTGAAAGATATATTGGTATCACTTTATTTTGATGGTCCCTTTAACACATTTTGTTGAATTTAAGTTACCCTGCATCTACATGCCAACTAATTCTCATTCCATTATAAGTAGACTGTTAGATGGGGTTACGGTTAATTGACAAGTTTCTTATAGTCAGTTAAATGTCTGTTAAAGGAGCAGCATCAGCAGATATTAAGCAGTCTACTAATACCTAAGTGAGAAGGTGTGTAGTTGCAATGCAACTTTTAGTCAACAAAATGTGCAATAGGGGCCATCAAAATAAAGTGTTTCTGACATATTAGCTTCATATAAGGCCATTAACACAAGCAGAAGAGCACCAGCAAGTTTTTAAATGAGACGTTGAGGTAATCTTTGCCTCTTTTCATCATCTTGTCAGCAGTTCTGACAAATGTTTAAAGTCTCTGAAACCGTCGCTCTGCTTTTTACAGCCAGACTGTACGTGGAGACGGACACCTTTGGCAGTCGTGTTCGCATTAAAGGAGCCGAGAGCGGCAGATACCTGTGCATGAACCGCAGAGGCAAACTGGTGGGCAAGGTGCGTTATTTTTCACTGGTCACAAATGTCTTTTATCAGTGTTGGGCATCAGATTTTTCAGTACAGTAGATTGTACACTTTTCACGTTCAGTTTAGATCTTGGAAAATATTGCATGATTGTCCTAAGCTGAAGATATTTATAATAACACACACTGAATAAAAACATTCAGTTTTTTAAAGGTAAACGGTGCAAAACAATTGTAATGGGCTAGACAAACAAAATAAATGTAGTAATGTTTAACTTAATTTGTTTGTTTAAATTCAGCCTACATATTAGTTTGCAGCCACTTACCTTGAAAAAATGGTCAATTTAATTAATCATTTTTTCAGTGTATAATGTCGTTCGTTATTAGATAACACAGTTTAGGACAGTATTATCAGCCCTCCTGTGAATTGCACTAAACCTGTATTCAAGTAAAAGCACACATTTTTAAACGTACACAGTATAAGAAATCTGTAAATGAGCAGCTTTCTGTCTTTTGTAATTCATGTTTTTGTTTTTCCCAGTTTATTTTATGATTTTGAATTGCATTATGGGATGTGCATTTTTCTTCCAACAACATTTAACTCTTAAAAAAAGTTGTGAAAAGTGCCTTTTATTGACTTGTGTAATAGTGTGCAGTGCTATATCGTCTGTGTTGGTGTTGTATATTACGCTACACACACCTTGTAATAAACTGCAGCTCATTTTGTGGTTTTACACACTTATTTCTCTGGATATTATTTCTTACACATTATATTATTTCTACTAAAAGTCACTTTGTTAAACTGTAGAGTTGAATTTTCATCATCAAAAGTGGACAGAGCAGAGATCAACATCCCATAATGCAATTCACAACCGCAAATAAACAGAAAACACATGCGAATCAGGAATGATAAAAACTGAATTAACAGATATTTTTACAGTGTAGCCCGAACGTTGGCAGAAAAGAGCATTCAGAGAGTGAAAGGCATGAAGGGAGTTTGGCTGAATCTGTAGAGGAAACGGTTTTCACACCCGTTCAGATGTCAAGCCTACTTTTCCTTCACGGATGTGGAAAAAATGTCTTCATCTCGGTGTGTTTGCTGGGAGCAGAAGATGAGTGTGTCTCTGTGCTGACAGACGCTGCTGAACAATAACACACACACACACACACACACATGCGTTCACTTATATACACTTTCAGTTCTTGCTGGAAATCTGTGATTATTCAACTAATATCTGGAAAAACAATGTTGTGAAGATAATGAAAGCGGTTTAATTCTCCATCATGTCAGCGGAGATGTTATGATCACGACAAGTTCATTCATTCATTTTCTTTTTGGCTTAGTGCCTTTATTCATCAGGGGTCACCACGGCGGAATGAACCGCCAACTATTCCAGCACATGTTTTACACAGGGGATGCCCTTCCAGCTGCAACCCATCACTGGGAAACACACTCATTCACACACTAATCCATACACTATGGCCAATTCAGTTCATCAGTTCCCCTACAGCGCATGTGTTTGGACTTGGGGAAACCGGAGCACCCGGAGGAAACCAACACGGACACAGGGAGAACATGCAAACACCACACAGAAATGCCAACTGACCCAACCGAAGCTGGAACCGGCAACCTTTTTGCTATGAGGTGACAGCGCTACCCACTGCGCCACCCCATAGGAAAAGTTAAAAGATAAAACAAACGAATTAATTAATTACAAACACTTGTGTTGGTCTAAACGTTTATGAGTTACGTTAATAAATTTACTTGATTTTTTTGATTCATAATTTGAATCTCTACATATCATGTCACAAAACACTTTTTAGCATTATATTGCACATCATAACACTCTGCATAATCTGCACAAATATTGTATAGGGTTCCCATGCTTTCATGAACAGTCAAGAACTTTAAAGCATGCTGTATGTGAGTGTTTGACTCTTCCATAGCAGAAAAGCAGCATCATATGTGAGCAGATATTCAGAAACATGCTCAGTGGACATTCATAACTTCTGAAATACACTGCTGAAGTCAGATACTCCAGCCTGATCTCACGAGAAAACTTAAGTATTTTACGTTTTGCCAGTTTAGTGGCTAATTCGTACGAGTTCAGTCGTACGAAATGGTACGATTTTAAAAAGGAGGCGTGGCACCTGACCCCACCCCTAACCCCATCCGTCATTGGGGGATAAGCAAATCGTACTAAATTGTACGAATTAGATTGTACGAATTCATACGAATTAGCCACTAAATGAAAAAGTTACGAATTGCCGTGAGATTGTGTTGGATATTCTGCTTTGAACATGTGAGTGCTGGAACGGCTTTTTGTTTTGGTCTCTTTAACCCGCCCAATGCCAGTTTAGCCAATCATATTTCAGCATTCCGGGTTGCCTTGGTGGAAAACAGCACGTTTCATTCAGTCAGTCAGTCAGGAAGGCTCTCAAAGCTTGCGCTCGTGACCGAAATGCGACCTCTGCTGGACAGTAGCAGACTCCGAAATGAGACGCAGATTTAGAGTTCCACGTGAGGTTATTAATTAGCAAATAATAAACATTAGGTGAGCAGGTCACATTGTAACCCTGTGTCCTAACATCACGCTACATGACGAGGTACACAGTGATGAGCAGTTTAGCTGTTTGCACCGGACGAAACACGACAAAAATGTAAATACAGACATTCAGAAGCACTGAATACTGCACTCACTCATGAAAACAGGAAGGTTTATAATCTAATGAATACATATTAAAGCTCTTTAACATGATTGAATGTGGATGCTGAATCACTGATATGTGTTTAGTTCTGAAGTTCAGTTTCAGATGGTTTATATTATTCTCCAGATCTGAGCTGAACTATCTGCTGCTGCTTTCAGTAGTCTGGCAATAAATGTGATGTAAAAGGGCATTCAGACTCACATTATTAGCATTTAACACTGAATAAAGCACATGAGGTGCACCTGAGCTCATCTCTGTTGTTTACCTGTGAGTTTTAGAAGCCGTTTCGAATGCTTCAATTTCAGCTGTTGGTTAGGACAAAAACTCCTTTTAGAATATTCCTTCTATCAGGTGCCGTTGCTTTTATTTAGAACATGGTTTAAATCACTCACTCCTGTCCTCAATCTGGCAACCTGCGCTTGTGTTTGTTTAGACCAGGGGTGTCAAACTCAATTCCTGGAGGGCCGAAGCCCTGCACAGTTTAGTTCCAACCCTGCTCCAACACACTTACCTGTAGGTTTCAAACAAGCCTGAAGGTCTCAATTAGTTTGACCAGGTGTGTTTAATTAGGGTTGGAACTAAACTGTGCAGAGCTGCGGCCCTTTTGGAACTGAGTTTGACACCTGTGGTTTAGATCCAGGAGTGCATTACCTAGTTCAACCACTGGCTGTCAAACTTACACACTGCAGCTTTAAAGCACCATTCATTTTAAATCAAGCACGTTTGCAATTCATATCTCACCATATGTAGCACCATGAAAGTCCCTACTGTACTTAACAATTCACTTTCACTTACACAATATTTAAAAATTGATCATTTTAAATAGTCATGTTTAATCAAACTTGTTGAATTCAATACTGGTAATATTCAAAAGCAGAAAATTCTGATCAAATGTGCATTATTTGTCAGCGTTACTGTACAAGATTAATATTTAATTAATTATTAATTATATTTTTAAATTGTATTTATTAATATTTATTTATATTTAACATTTTTATTTAAAAAATGTCTCAGTTCTTTCGTTGTGTTTTGACAAATGAGTACAATTCTCGCATACAATTCAACCATAAACCAATTTTTACACATTTAATTCAAGCACTTTCAAGAATCTACATGTGAAATCAGAATTATTTGCCTTCCTGTATATTTATTTGCCAATTTCTGTTTAATTTGATTTCTAAACATAATAGTTTTAATAACTCATCTCTAATAACTGAATTATTTTCTCTTTGTCATGATGACAGCACATAATATTAGACTAGACATTCTTCAAGACACTAGTATTCAGCTTAAAGTGACATTTAAAGGCTTCACTAGGGTAATTAGGGTAAAGTTAGGGTAATTAGGCAAGTCATTGTATAACAGTGGTTTGTTCTGGAGACAATCCAACACTAATATTGCTGAAGGGGGCTAATAATATTGACCTTAAAATGGCTTTAAAACAATTAAGAACTGCTTTTATTCTAGCCGAAATAAAACAAATAAGACTTTCTCCAGAAGAATAAATATTAGAGGAAATACTGTGAAAATTTCACATCATCTTACATCTTGTAAAAGGGTTGAAATAGATGTGAGCTGTGTGAATAACTCTGCTTTCTGTCTCTCAGCCCAACGGCCGCGGACGGGACTGCATCTTTACGGAAATCGTGTTGGAGAACAACTACACGGCTTTAGAGAACGCCAGACATGAGGGCTGGTTCGTGGCTTTCACCAGGAAGGGTCGACCCATCCGAGCCTCCAAAACCCGACAGAACCAGCGCGAAGTTCACTTCATCAAACGCCTCCACAAAGGACCGCAACCGTTCCCGAACGCAGAGCAGCCAAAACACTTCGAGTTCATCAGCTTCCCTTCGACACGACGTGCCAAACGCAACAGAAAACACCAGACCGCTTCATAACCCGCTGATCAAACGACAGAGACAGCTTTATTTTTATATGCTTTCGTACTTAATGGACTTGAAAAACACTGAACGGACGCTCGATGCTCAGGGGCGACTTGTAAATATAGATAGAGAATGTATATATTTAATTAAGGTGGTGTTTGTGTCTGTGTGTTGCGTGAGCATTTTGTACAGACTCTACAGACAAATGTGCTCAATATTAAACACGATAAAGGAGAAATTTCCCTCTGAGGGGAAAATAAAATACTAATGCTAAACGAAATACAATCAGCCTATACACTACCAGACAAAAGTCTTGTCGCCTATCCAAGTTTCAGGAACTCCCAGAGTTCATCAAAAGTCTTTGTGTTCATCTTCAACGCCTCCTCCTCCTCCATCTTACCCCAGACATGCTCCATAATGTTAATATCTGGTGACTGGGCTGGCCAATCCTGCAGCACCTTGACCTTCAGGAGCTTTGATGTGGAGGCTGAAGTATGAGGAGCGCTATCCTGCTGGAGAATTGTCCCTCTCCTGTGGTTTGTAATGTAATGGGCAGCACAGATGTCTTGATACCTCAGGCTGTTGATGTTGCAGATCTCTCGCACACCCCCATACTGAATGATCCCCAAACCATGATTTCTCCTTCACCAAACTTGACTGATTTCTGTGAGACTCTTGGTCCATGCTGGTTCCAGTAGGTCATCTGCAATGATTGTGATGCAGATCAGCAGATGATTCAGCAGAAAAATCCACCTTCTGACTCTTTTCCAAATGATCAACTAGAAGTCGAGTTATTATTGTTGCTCTTACAACTGAGATCCACGGCAAGACTTTTGTCAGACAGTGTATAGCACTAAAAATATAATATGCTTAAGGTAAACTACCTTAGTTCATTAATATTACACCACATGCTAACACACGACACTAAATAATGCAATAAACATTATTTATCAACATTATTTTTATATGCTTTCGTACTTAATGAACTTAAAAAAAACACTGAACGGACGCTCGATGCTCAGGGGCGACTTGTAAATATGGTAAGATAGTAGAAGAGAATGTATATATTTAATTAAGGTGGTGTTTGTATCTGTGTGTTGTGTGAGCATTTTGTACAGACTCTAAAGACAAATGTGCTCAATATTCAATACTCCTCTGATGGGGAAAATAAATGCAACATGAAATACAATCAGCCTCAGTTTCAAGACGAGATGTTTGATAATGAAAAAGGGAAAAAATTAATGAGAGTCAACTGTTTGGTAACCGCATACAGTACAACATACTCCATACAATTTACGGTAAAAAAAAACAATTCCAGCATATGTTTTACACAGCGGATGCCCTTCCAGCCGCAACCCAGTACTGGGAAACATCCATACACACTCATTCACACACACAGTTCATCAATTTCCCTATAGCCCATGTGTTTGGACTCTGGGGGAATCCGGTGCACCTGGAGGAAACCCACGCCAAAACGGGGAGAACATGCAAACTCCACACAGAAATGCTAACAAGCCCAGCCGGAACTCAAACCAGCAACCTTCTTGCTGTGAGGTCATATATATATATATATTAGGGTGCCACGGTGGCTCATATATATATATATAATACAACAGTTCTGTCTTGTTCTTGAATCTGATTGGCTGATAGCCATGAGATATTTTGCCAGTAGCAGCACACAAAGGCCTCTTCACCTTGTGTATTACTCCGCCCACAGTAAGCAACAAGCAGAAGACGCTCTACAGTTTGACAAACATTCCTGCTGTTGACCAACATAATGTACTTTTGAGGCTATTTTTAGTGGAGAATGTAGTTGTTTAAATTGCAGTTTATCTATAAGGATAGTGCCTATTTTAAAATATTTATTATTTCTGAGATTCATTGATTCATTTATGAGAAGAGACCTGTGTGCGCTGTTGGCAAAATACCGCACGGCTATCAGCCAATCAGGTTCAAGAACCAGACAGAACTGTTGTGTAAATAAACAGCTAGTAATTAATAATTAATGGCTCGGATGCATTTCAAAAGTTATTTTTTATAATAGCTTTACAGATGTCAGACATGATATTTATCTTAATGTATAAGATCATTAACAGGTGTAATGCAGACATGTAAATAATATCTCTTCAATAACATCATAAAAACAATACTCATACTATGTACAAAATTCTGATATTTTTGAATGCAATAAAACTCACTATTGTCAGAAATGCACTTTTACACTAAAAAAGAGGGAGGTTTTACATGCAAACAACATGAAGAAACAACAAAAATTGTGTGTTTTTTGTTAAATGTACCCCATGGGTCTTCTGTAAATATCTATGTATATTCTAAAAAAATTCACAATAAAATAAATCTATTGATCAGATGCTAAAAAGGTTAATTTTAAAAGGACAGTCCGCCCAAAAATGAACATTTCCCCACCATTTACTCACGTGGTTCTACATTTTTATAGATTGGTTTATTCTGATGAACAAAACAAGATATTCAGAAAAAAAAAACTCAAGTTGAAAGAGAATGAACAAATGATGACAGAACTTTCATTATTGGCTGAACTGTCCTTTTAAATTCTCATTGAACTCCTCAATAGCCGTTCCTGAACACTAGAGGACGCCAATGCTGTTTATATATGAGGCAAACCTGGGCGAGGCCCTCTGTTCCTCACAGCTGACGATGAAATGAAAAAATGAAAAAGCAGAACATTAATATATTACCTGTACAGCGAAATGGGTTTAAATCAATACTTAGTACATCTGCAGTATTGGCGGAGCACTAAAACACAGGCGCCCACATCAAAAAATACAATATTAATTCACAGCAAATCCCTGTAGTGTTTTTGAACCATAATATAGGCCTAGAAAATCAGACCATCCAGTACTTTGCAGGAACATTTTTTAGATATAATCTATATTTGCAGCTTAAATTACTAATTTTGAGACAGCTTTACTCAAAACCAAAGGCATTATTAAAAATGTGCTTAATGTTTGTGTTGTGAAATTATATATAAGTCTTTGATTAAAAAATGTATTGATTTCACAAATCATACAAACGCTTCTAAAAGATGGTCTTGGATGGTGAAACAGATATAAAAACCACGACACGGAGAGACCATTTCATAAAAATAAATAAATAACAACAATATTAGTGCACTATATAGCTTAAATAAACTTTATCAAGCAAAAACAACATTACGCACGCATATTAAAACTGCTGTTCTGTGTCAATTAAATCAGTTGACCGTTGAAATTCACATTTTTAACCCAACTGGTTAAATTATTAAATAAATAACCTAATAAATGTTAAAAATAACCCAACAAAGCACCAAATATTTAACTCATCTGGTTGAGTTATTAATAAAAAAACCTAATAAAGGTTTAAAATAACCCATCAAAGCACCAAATATGTTTAACTTGGGTTAAATAAATAACTCAATGTTTTTTAGAGTGTATTAATCTCTCAAAATCCTGGAGGGACTGGTAAAGTTTATTGTACTGTAGCCTTACAGTATTTACAACACTTAGATAATGATTATAATATTTATTCATTCATTTTCATCGGCTTAGTCTCTATTTCAAATGTCACCACAGCGGAATGAACCGCCAACTATTCCAGCATATGTTTTACGCAGCGGATACCCTTCCAGCCTCAACCCAGTACTGGAAAAAAACAATAATTATAATAATATAAATAATACGATCGCCTCACAGTAAGAAGGTTGCTGGTTCGAGCCTCGGCTGGGTCAGTTCTGTGTGGAGTTTGCATGTTCTCCTTGTGTTGGTGTGGGTTTCCTTTGGGTGCAAGTCTAAAGACATGTGGTACAGGTGAATTGGGAAGGCTAAATTGTCCATAGTGTATGTGTGTGAATGAGAGTGTATGGGTGTTTCCAAGTGATGGGTTGCAGCTGGAAGGGCATCCGCTATGTAAAACATATGATGGATAAGTTGGCGGTTCATTCCGCTGTGGTGACCCCAGATTAATAAAGGGCCAATATATATATATATATATATATATATATATATATATATATATATATATATATATATATATATATATATATATATATATATATATATGAATAAATGATAATAATGATAATAATAATATAATAATAGCACATGTTTATTTGTATAGCACTTTTCTTACATAAATGCAACCCAAAGTGCTTCACACAAACAATTAAAAAAACAACAACATTAAAATCAGGTAAAATATAAAAAAACGTATAAACAAATACAAAAACAAATCAAATGTAGGCGTGTAAACAAACAGAACAAAATATATACTCAGTTAAATGCATACATGCACACACACACACATGCATATATTTAAATATACACACACAGTACAGTACATACATGTCTGTGTGCATACACATACACAATATGCCTATAAAACACACATACTTCATGAATGCTTCAGCATACTGTAGTATTAACTATACTGTATTAATACTGTAGTGCATTTCAGTTTTACTACAGTAAATTGTGGTGTAATGTAGTATAATGTATCTTAGCTGTAGAAAACTACACTATTGGTTCATTTGTATTTATTATGATAGTGGTTGTGTTATCATAGAAACTAGAATCACCTCAACGCCTACTACAACAGTATGGTTTAAAAATATGGGCGAGCCATGATCCACCAGGATAATCGTTGTGTGTTATATAATGTCTAATATACCTGTATAAAGCAAACAGCCTCGCTCTTCTGAGTAGAGCAGATGTTCTGTTGGCAACCAATTGCAAATGACTTCCTTCCTTTGCTCAAGGCAAACTAATGACCTCTGATCCATATTAATGTTTGGTTATTGATTGAGAAGATGCAAAACACTCCCCGAAAACCAATAATCGTCCTTCAGTAAAGCTCAATAACAGCCTCCAGAGCAAATGGCAAACGCTCAAGCAGTAAAATCCTCCACCAAAAACAGATCTCTTTGTTTTTTCTTTGCAAACATTGAAATGTTGCTAAATCAAGATGCACTTGAGATGCAAAATTACTTACAGCCTAATTTGCTGAAAGAAATGCAATGACTCGAGACTTTGTCTTGTTCGAGATGCCACCGTTTGCACATGTTTGTGCGGAATTATGTCAACATGAAATGATTTCATTATATTCAAATGATCTGAGGCCTCATGTACGAAGACTTGTGTTGAATTAATACTATAACATTGCGTACGGACTAAGCTGTAAATGTGCGTACGCAGTAAAAAAAACAGATATATGAAACACTGCATACGCGGAATCCCACGCATATTCTCTTTGTACATTTGACTTAACGTAAAACTGAGCGCACAAGTGCAAAACCCCTCCCTGCCTCCTCCCCTGTATGAATATGGTAATCACTCCACTTTGGCAAAACCAAACGACAAAGCTATGCCAAAAGCAAGCAAGAAGAGAAACTTAACAGAATGTGAATGTGAGGTGCTCCTATCAGAGGTAGACCGGAGAAAACTGTGTTATTTGCAAGTTTGTCCTCCGGAATTAATAACAATAGAAAAAAATAGAGTGGGAGAGTGTGCCGACGCGGGTAATGCAGTGGGGTCTGAACATCGCACTGTGAGTCAATTCAAAAAGAAATGGTCCGATGGAAAGATGCAGGTTAAGAGGAGAACAGCGGCGCAAAAATGTAGACCAAACAGGCGGGGGAACAGGGAATGCTGAACTAACACACTTAGAGAAGTGAGTTGCCACAATTGTGGGGGCCACTTTACTGTCTGGAGTAGTATCCGTGTCTGTGGGACACAGATGTATTAGAGGAACACTTTGTTAGGGCGGTATAGCAACACCGCTCCGCTCTTATCAAGGCAGCGTCGCCGGCATTTCAGCTGCCCAATCGCCCGCTCTACAACTGGCCAACACTGTCATTGCCATAGACTAAGGGTTGTGTACATTTACAAATGCTTTTATATGTCCTAAATTACATGATTGTATATATATATATATATATATATATATATATATATATATATATAGTGTCAATTAACCGATTTGATCAATTATAAATGAATAGCAACGTTTTTCACAGGTACAGTGTGCAATTTAACACAATTGCTCTAGGAGTCGCCGATGGAAATAAAACAAACGCACACAAGAAATACAGGTACGCCAGACATGAAGTTGGTGCAGACGAATGCACATTCTTTTTCATATGTAAAGATATTTGCGTATTGCTCTACATCTTGTGT